TTCATTTCAAAATTCAAGCATTTCATAAAAAAACAATTATTGAAACTGTTCATGATTTCAAACTCACAATTACTTTATGCACAATTCAAAATTATCCAACTATTCATAAAATTAGCTCAATGTATGTAACTACTCACAGTTTCGAATAACTTACTACAATGTTCAAACTTATGAAAGATTTAATAAACGTTTAGTACTTTTAGGAAATCGTTGGAGTCCAAAGTTTTCGAATATTCAAGGTTTATTCAGCGTTTCTAAGAAAGAAAAATCAAAATTTGCTCAATTATTCATGACTTTCAACAATCTTACTGAGTTTTGTATTTGAAAGTTAACAAGTTATTTGTACATTTTCACAAGTTTGTTTGACCTGTTATCTTAGATTATTCGCTGATTCATTAATTTAATAGCTCTATCATAACCAGTCACTTTATGTAAACGGCAAGTGACTGAAAATTATCACAGTAAAACCTTTTTTTACTTCCTTAATTGTGTTTCAAGAGAAATCGCTTCCGCTCCAACTAATTTAATTCAACATTCGTCTGTTGCTTGAGTAAGAAAATTCATTATGATAATATAATAATAGATAGGCAAACAACGATTTATAAGCATAAAGAAAAATTGTATTCATGGTGGAACATACTACATGTTTCGAAAAAAGACCAATGTTCTGTCGAAACATGTAATATGTTCCACCATGAATAAAATTCTTCTTTATGCTTATAAATCATTGTTTGCCTACCTTTTATTACTCGTCTGGTGGTTACAAAGCGATAAGAATTCCCAGTCCGGGCACTCTATCCCCTATGTCACACCCAACTCCTTAATTTTAGAGATAGAACACTGACAAAAGTGATCACGCAGACAAATATTTCAGATCTAGTATTAGATAGCTTAAAAAATGTAGTCTCACACATGTTTAATTTACAGAAATATGTTTATTTCACATTAATCTATTCAATTCCGTGCTCTATTGAATAAAAGGGGCGGCATGGTCATTTCTATATGAAATTGTTGCGTGATTTGTGAAGCCTTACTCATATGCTTACCACCTGTGAAATATTCCATCGTCAATAAAGAATTATGTTGATATATTCGTTAACAGATATCGTATTTTATATTCTTCATCCCTTCCTTCGTTTCCTTTAGGGGGGGGGTGTACTGATTTTGACGCGTTTTCACAAACGTTTAGAATAATAGCAAAATAAAGCAGCTTTCTCTGAAGTAGAATGTACAGAAAATTCTGTCATCACAAAAAAAAAAAATTAGTCAAGTATTTAAATATTTCAGTGAACATAGAAAATGAAATACTGTAGTGTTTTATGTTTACTTATAGAAATGAATCAGGGTATTTCTCTCTAACATGAATATGTTTAAGTAAAACTAAAGAAAACTATTTGAATCTCACTCTCTTGGAATAAGCAAGAACAATATATAGTTTTGCTTTCTTTATTTGAGAAAAAAATATTTGTTTTATCTCTTTGACACACACACACACATATACATATATATATATCATCTTTGCTGATAACTATGACGAAGACAGAAAATATTTTTTGTTTTAGTTTTCTCAAATGGTTAAAAGAAAAATCTCGAGTCTTATCATTCTTTATTTTGCCTGCTTCACCAAAAAAATAGAATAATATTGATAAACAAGAAGCAATAAAGCACCATGCCTCACTTTAAAGTAATTATAAAACTTAAAAAAATGAAACAAAATTCGAACGTTTTAGAATCGTTGTATTTTCTTCAAATTTTGTGCTCAAGCTTTTTGGTTTTGCCCCCCCCACTGGCACAGCGGTATGTCTGTGGACTTACAACGCTAGAAACCTGGTTTCGATACCCGTGGTGGGCAGAGAACAGATAGCGGAAATCGAAGCCCGAATTTTAGAATACAAAGGTATCAAACTTAACGTTGAGCAACCGGGAAAAGATTTAGCTCTTAGACTGTGATCTTGTCAAAACTTGTTTATTTGTTGTTAAACGTCAAGTACACAGTTGTATGTCTGTGCTCTGCGTACCGTGGGTATCGAACCTGAGTTTTAGAGTTTTTTCAAGAACAAATATCTAACAGTTCGTAAAGGAGTTCAGAATACGTTTATTTATTAATACCTTTTTTTTTAAAGAAACTATTTGTTTGTGTTTCCGTAAAGTTACACAATGGGTTATCTGCGCTGTGTCAGCCGTGGGAATCGAGCCCATAATTTTAGCCCTGAAGCTTACCGGTCAGTCATCTGTGAAACTTTTTTATTTTGAATTAGTTAAATTTTCCTAATGAAATTTCCAATAAAATGACCTCTCTCTGTGTATTTCTATTGACGTTTTTATTTATTAGGTATATAAGTTGTTTATAATAAGCAGTCATGGTTGATTTTGTGAAATACCCTCATCCCTTCGAAGATTTTAAAAAATGGCTCGCTTTGTTGTCACTTTATAATGCTGCTTAGTATAGAGCCTTTTATCCAATGTTATAATTATCCATATACTTACAAGATTAATATGTTCATAGATTTTGAATAAGGGTTGAACTACATTCACTTATCAGGAAATGTTTCATACACGATACTACAACCCATGTTTTGTTCTACTTACACATATTGTTAACCACACAAGGTATTTTTGTAAATGTTCATATATATATATATATATATACGTTCATTAAATCAATAAACTATATTTTGTTCTTTCTCTTTTTAATATTACTAACTACTGGGCGTTACCACTCCACCCAAATGTACTGAAATGCATGGAATGTTTCCGATAAACCGCATTTTTTGCTTCAGAACGTGGTTCTAAAAATGTGACAGTATTAAGAAGTATTTGTCCACCCAACACGTTGTGATTGATAGAATTCAAATAAACCTGCATCAGATTGTCATCTTCCTCTTGAGCTCATTTGTTAAAGGTTTTCTAGTTTATTTGCCTCTTCAATCGCATGGTGCTGCCATCTCTCAACAAAATATATAAACGAACTACTTTTTAAATAATTCCAGTTAGAAATATTCTGCATTTTGTTAATTGTCTTACATTTTCTGTATTTATAGACTTTAAAACTGTCCATTATTTTAAATGCTTACACTAAAAATATGCTATGGTTTGCATTTGGCAGTGTAATAACATTATACAAATCGAGTTAATAATTAACATGTTGTTTTAAAGACAAATATATTTGAAACTTTAAACGAAGGCCATTAACATTATTTTGGGTAGCAAAAATGTTTGTGTTTGATTCGCAAATTCACGCAAAGCTTCCTGCACTAAAAAAGTTAACAGCTGCCATCATCAACTTTTGTAATACTATAAACTGCGATTTGACCTTCATTCTTATAACGCACACAAAGCCTAAGACGATAAGCGCGATTTTGCGACAATGATACGCGAAAATTGAACCCTCAAATTCACAGTCCAACATACTTCACTGTTGAGAACGAGGGATTATGAGGGATTATTAGTGCTCCATAGATTAATTTTTTTATCAAAAAGGAGTTAAATTAGCAAACATATTTCTTAAATTATTTCTAATGTCTAATATGCATGATAGTTTTTCACTTTCAATTCATGATGATTAAATTGTAACAAATATGATGTGCAATTGCGAAAATGTAAAAGTTCGTTTATCAAACTTTCATTATTCAACCTATTTGAATATTTTCAGGCTGATCAGAAACAGAAAACTTGAAAGTTAGGCCAAACAGTTTAAATCACACCTTGTTCCTGAACGTGTACTTCTTGTTTTAGGTTTGTCTTATTGTGGTCGACGAACAGATTGTCGTTTAAAAACCCTTTTGAACCTCGAATTTTCAATAACTTTCGGTTTCTTTGTGTAGCATAATATATCAAAATATATTTACTTAGATGTCAATAATTGAGAAATAATTAATAATATGTTTGTAAAATATATTTACTTTGTTATACTTTTTACACTTGACTATAGAGTAACATACTAGTATATTCACATTCATTTTGTAAGGTCGTGAAACGTTTTATAAAACTCTTTCCTACCCTGTTAAAAATTGTTTACTAGTTAATAATTATTATGCTATTTCCAAGACAAATATATTTGAAATTTTAAAGGAAGTCATTAAAATCTTCTGGGAGCAAACAGCTAGTCAACAGCGCACACCGCCAACTCTTGAGCTACTCTAATCGAACAGTATAATTTGACCGTCACTCTTATAAAGGCATCCACAGGATCAAAGTGCAGAGCGATTTTTTTTATATTTTTTTTGCAGGAACGAGAGTCGCACATGGAGTTTGCTACAAGACAGATTCACATCACTACTTATTGTAGCATGTAATTGTGTTTTGTTTCCTAATCCATAGCAAACAGAAACCAAAACTATAAACAAGACAGATTCACATCACTACTTATTGTAGCATATAATCGTCTTTTATTTCATTATCCATAGAAACAGAAACCAAGACTATAAACAAGCCATGTTCACATCACTACTTATTGTAGCATGTAATCGTCTTTTGTTTCATTATCCATAGCAAACAGAAACCAAAACTATAAACAAGACAGATTCACATCACTACTTATTGTAGCATATAATCGTCTTTTATTTCATTATCCATAGAAACAGAAACCAAAACTATAAACAAGACAGATTCACATCACTACTTATTGTAGCATGTAATCGTCTTTTGTTTCATTATCCATAGCAAACAGAAACCAAAACTATAAACAAGTTTCAGATCGTCTTATTTGGATTACATACTTTTTAATTTTTTTTTAAAGCTTTAATCGTTACGTAATATTTTTGTCTGTGGCCTGTATAATTTTTATTGAGTCAAATAGCGAGCTATGCTTTAATTGTTTTCTTGTTGAAAAGTATTTGCTTCGTGAGTGGCTCAATTTATTTTTTACATACTATGATATGAAGCACCATTTTTCGTTAAACTACAGCTCTATAACAATGACTCTTTTTTTTTTAATTTTACGTATTTGTTGTCTTACTCTATTTACAGTACATAACTCTGTTTTCCTTCTACCTTTTCAGGTTCAAATTACCACTCTGTGTGTGTCCATTTCTTTAAGCTCCTTTGTGGCGTTGTTCTGTTTATTTTCACCCAAGATTTACATCATAGTGTTTCATCCTGACAAAAATGTGCGGAAACTCACAATGAACAGCGCCACCTATAAAAAGGCTCCTACAAGTAGTACATGCGGTACAACAACCAATCATGGTAAGAATACAAATCTAGACCAGGGTTTGTGTATTTTTGCTTTTTCAAACTTCTTTCTCAGTTTGTATGAAATATAATATTGTCATAAAAGTGAATTTTATTTGTTATAGTAGGACAACAAATATTTCGCTATAGTAACAGTTTTATATATGAATTATGTTTTCGAAAAGCATAATCAATCTACCCCCCCCCCCCCAAAAAAAACAACTATAAATATAGGGAAATTCACTTCCTATACTGATAGAGTAGTTTTTTTAGAAATTTTTTTATCTGTAGTCTGTAAAAACTCCAGTATGGAACAAAAAGTTAAAATAAAAGAGAAGCTTGAAAAAATATTTTCACTAAGATATTTATTGTTAATATTATAAATATATTGATTATTTTTCACTAAAATAAAATCATAACACTATTAGAACAACTTTCTATAAATTATTTGCCACACGACACTTACTTAAATGTTTAAATTTTCTCCCAAGATCAAAGTATACTGCTCTACATGCTCTCGTACTTCGAAGTTTTATAGGCAAGTTACTGGAGAGATCAGTATTAAATTCAAGTTTTAGTAAAAGAATTGTCTTCAATACAAATATATTAAAGCTTTAGGTGAAAAAAGTATGAAAATTCTTTAAAAGTTTACCGTGTGTTTTTATATCAGAATTAGTTAATAAGGTGCTGGAAGATCTAAGAGTGGTTTAATACATTGAATTGAGTTTGGTTCCTTCTTTTTTGTGTACATATGAACAAATACGAACAGTTGATCCTGTATATATATATTAGACGAGAAGAAATAAAATAATAGAGCATTAAGTTTATCAGTTCTATATAAACAACAGAGATGATAGGTATCACAAAAAATTTAAGTTTTTTCTCTAAAATCTCCTTGAACAAAGACTTTAAAATATGACTGTTTTTCTATATCTGTTCTACATTTGAAGAAAATATGTTTAAGTTATCTTATGATTTGAATACAATAGGGAAATCATTAGCAGAAACTCCAGCTGTAAATTCATGTTTGTCTATTTTTATTGTTTAAACATAATATTATAAATTCTCGTAAATAGATGTGAGGAATGAATTCAAAAAAATTGGGAATTCGATTTGTATGCTGAGAGTTGTTGATTTTATCCATATGACTTTTTTCGTAATATGACGTGTGAAACTGCATCAACAAAATTTCATATGTGAGGTTATTAATGATAAACCTTAGAGAAAGTCATTAACAAGGTTATAGTACGGTGTACAAAAATAATAGTGATATTATCCTTAAAACTGTACAGTATGCATTCACTGAAATACATGTATGCATACATATTCCCAGCAAGGTAGCATCATAAGAACATAAAACTGGAAAAAAAAAGAGTCACTGAAATACATATACGCATACATATTCCCAGCAAGGTAACATCATAAGAACATAAAACTGGAAAAAAAAAGAGTCACTGAAGTTTCAACCCTTGAAAGGAAAAAAAAAAGACATAAAATGTCACTGTGTTCGCCCACAATCTAACATTTAGACATTGACAATTTTAACGTTACATAAAATGTTAAATGCTACTTTGTTGTTTAATTAACTTTAAAGGTAGCATACCAATAAATATGATTTGTATAATTTTATGCTTGAGTTAGATAATTTTAGTTGGCAAAAACAAAACAGTAAGTCAATGTACACCCTGAAAACTTCAGTTTTATGTCTTATAAATTTCCAAGATGGATGGTGAGTTTATTAGGTCACAGTTTTATAATTGTCTTCTGGACCACGTATCACAGAATGTTACGTGTTAAAGTATTTGATTTTATTGTTTAACAACTCACGTAAATGCTTATTACCAAGTGCCATTTTTTTAGATCACAAATTAATATTGACTATTTCTTCGTACTTATGTTCGATTTAATAATCACCACGAGCACTTGTAAGTTACATCTAGTTAAAATGTCAACACGAACATTGAACTCTTACCTTACCCATATGGACAGTTACCCACGAGTATAAACCCACAAATTCACGTGGATACACCATTTCATACTGATAAAGTAAAACTGTGGAAGACAATCAGTTATTTCTGTAAGGAAATGTAAAGTGGGGTCTCATCGACAAGGATAAATGGCAATACTAGAAATGGGACGGACAGACGGGTTAAATTGTAATTTATGCTATATGGAATGACCAAAATCCAAGATCGGATAAAGTAAAACTGTGGAAGACAATCAGTTATTTCTGTAAGGAAATGTAAAGTGGGGTCTCATCGACAAGGATAAATGACAATACTAGAAATGGGACGGACAGACGGGTTAAATTGTAATTTATGCTATATGGAATGACCAAAATCCAGGATCGGATAAACTTGAAGTATCCAAGACAATGTCTCAAGAACAATATTTAAAACATAAATAATTCATTCTAGTAACCAATAAGTGTTTTATCCAGATGAAAAGAGAATTCCATGTGACTCTTACCATTTCTTTATTAATACTGAATTCACTTTTTGTAAATCACTGCATGGATATATCAAGTTCTCAAGAAGTATTTCAAAGGTCAGGAATGTTGTTTGATAATTTTTATATTTTATTAATCTTTTTTAGAATTTGTATTAGGTATTTTAAACATTTCTAAAGACAAAACTTTTAATCGTTATTATTTTTAGAAGAAATTAACGTAGAGTTTTTCATTTCATATTTGTTGTTGACGAGAACATACCAGCAATAACTTATGGCTAAATAATAAGTTTAAACTATAACAAGATTCATTTTAACATTTAACAACCCTAACACTCTGAAAGGTTGTCATTACTAAAGGTTTCCAAATTTTGATAAATGGTGATTATATATCAGAATCGTTACTTAATTGTCATTTTGATCTCTAGAAACTTAAAGTGTATTGAATGATAATATTTAACTTTGTGAAGTTAATCTTTAAAAAAATGTTTTTTTTTAGAATTTCAAAATTTTAAGTTTCTTCATATATTGTTATACGAAAAGCCTTTCATATTTGTATTACGTTTATAAGATCAACGCCATTTAGTAACTGAGGTTTTTATTTATTTACATTTTTTGTAAAACAACTTGTTTTATTTACATGCTGGAAGACATATTTATTTTATTGCGTTTGGTTTGTGTGTTTTTGAGTCTAGGTAGTTCGGCAGAACAAGTAAAGTTGACGGTACAGACAACGCCATCTAGAGTTCCAGCAGAAAGTGATCGGGACAGCCTGACCTCTTTGTGACAATTAGATAAATAATGCGCATTGTCCAAACTCAAATAACTTTGAAGTTTGAAAAAAGTAAGAGGTCTATAAGAATATTATATACCTAATTATTTTAACAAGATTTTCAAGAAAAATACTTTACAGAAACTACTGTATATTAGACGTACTCACATATCGCCTACGGAAACACATTACATAAGGTATTAAAATGTGCTCTGCGGTTGGTGACGTTATGTTCAAGTAAAATACGAACTTTATTCATAGTGGACGCAATGGGGCTCATTATGTGACACCATAGTGTTTTGTGTTGTATTATTCGTAAATCATCTATTAGTGATTCGTGAACATTCGATGTAGTGTATGTCGTGACTTGAACACTTCTTTAAGTCTTCCTCGTGTAAAATGAAGGAATATCGAGGAAAAGTGCGTAATCTCATAACTGAAATTCAGCAGAAAGCGCTCACACTGAGGAGAACTGAAAATTAGTTGTAAGTTTTCTGTATTGCGCAGATCAGTACAATGAGTACTCATTCTCGAGTACTTCCAGGAATACTTCAATATATTCTAAGCCCAATTCGTTTAATCATGACATATTGGAGTGTGTGTTCTTTCAACTAGTGAGCATTTTTTTAAATCACGAATTTTTCGAGTACATTAGAATTAATAATATGTTCGAGATGAAATAAAATCACCTCTTGATGACATAGGCATCCGGCTTTTTGCAAATATTTTGGGGCTCGTTTGCAAAAAACCGGATGCCTGCCTCATTTTGAAGCCTAGCACTGATTAAAGTTTGATTTTAAAAAAAGGATTAATTTCTTAAACCAGACAATTATGTAGTTCTGGTTCTCCTTTTTATCAGTTCAGAAACGGGTGTTTTGATTCATAAAGGAAACTTTAGATATAGATAAGTATATACAAAAGAAATGAGAACCAAGATTCTCTGATAGTATTAAAATATAAATAATGTACATATTAAATATGTTCTGTAACTGCACCACAAAACGACATTGTGTCATTTTGCATTACTTAAAAAAGCACTGCGAATTATATATTACATTTATTATCCTCAGCAGTATTACTTGCCACTTCTATATTTAGTACGTGAAGGTGTCTTTTTGTCAAGTGTAACTGGCTTTTATTGTTAGTAGCTCTTGGTGGCACGCTATAAGAAACAGCATTGTTTCTAGTGATTACAAGTTGATCGCTTTAAGCTTAAAACTTAGGCCAAATTTTCATTAAGTTATAAAACTTTCAGTGAAGAATAGAGTATTAATAAGTGTATAAAAATAGCCATGCTTGATAAGTTAAGAGTGTGGGCCACCGTAATACCAGTAAAATATCAAAAAGTGTTATTGCTATGGTTTTAGAACTTAGAATATTAAGTGTAGTAAAAGAACAAGTGCATAATAAAAACTAGTTCGTTTGGCTTAGTTCTTGATGTAATGTTGAAGTTTTTGTGGTCTTACCAATAAACAACAACACACTCAAAAAATATCCAACCTTTCTCTTTTCACAGTACATAAGCCGACAGAAGTATATTAAACTTTTTTTTTCAAATAAACTTTCTTTAGCCCTGTTAGAAAGAAACAAAAAGTCTATATTTTGATCAAAGATTTGGTTTTACCCCTTCGCCAAGGGTTACAAGTGCTAGCGAGGAAGAAATCGTTACAGATTAAGTTATAGTCGGACCTCAGCTATGACCCATGAAATATCAGATATTAAAATAGAATAAACTTTTTAAAAGTCTTTTTTTTTAAATTAAATAAAATGTTAAGTCTTTCAAAAATTAAAATTTATGCAAACTTTTATTAAGTAATACAAAAATTTAGGGTTAATTCGTCAACTCATTTTTCAAGAGTGGAAAGAGTTAAAACGTCGCATAAGAAAAAGTTTAAGAATGAAAAAATATTTCATAGTCTTTTATTCAAAATATTTATTGACTAAAGAGAAAATTATGAAACATCTGGTGTTTTCAATTTGTAGAAAATTTTTATAAAGATCAATGTTTGATAACCGAATAAACATAAGCTATCAGTTACGTGTAAATTTTCCTTGTTCTAACAATAAAATTGACTCTCAATTCGAAAACAGTTTGCATGGAAATGCATTGATTAATTTCTCAGGTTGGGGCAATTATTACCTACAGATATAAGATTATAATGTTTTCTTTTTGGTCAATTGCTTACCCATAATAAAAAAAAATTCATTGCGCTTTTAACGAAAATAATTTAAAAAAATTATCAAATAAGTATTTTTCAATTTCATTTGTCTGTTATATAATTTTAGTTTGTTAATAAATTTTATTTATTTCAATAAGTATACGATCGATTGTTTGTTGTTAAGCATAAAGCTACACAATGGGCTATCTATGTTTTTTGCTCACTGCGAATATCAAACCTGATTTTTAATGTTGTAAGCCCTCAGACTTACTGCTGAGCCACCGAGGGGGGACTATTAAGTGATTTTACATTTGAATGTTTCATCCATTAGTAACTGAATCATTTATTAGTTATATGTATAAAACAGAAACATTTACTATCTTTATTGAAATAGATCAATATAGATAATAAATCTAAAGCATTTGCTTTACAGTGACTCATACTGCAACAACATATTATGAAAACACATGTTAAATACACATAAAATAAAATACCGTCATACGAAACAAATATCAAATGGTTGACCGATAGAGTAATAATTAACACATATCAAAAATAAAAATTAACTAATGAATGTTTTTCAGAACTAAAAAAATCTAAGACCAAAATACATCGACTTATTTAAATTTATTAATTTATATCATTTTTATTTAAAAACTGGGAGATATGTAAAATAGAAACCAAAATAACATTACTAAATACTCTGTTTGTTTATTTAATTTCGTGGAAAGCTGCTAGAGGGCTATCTGCGTTGGCCGTCCCTAATTTTGAATTGATGGCTGCTAGTCACACTTAACAAGATATCTGAAACCAAGTAAAACTGAAAATCGCCCCATTCCAGAGCTTCACCTACACCGGCCATAGGTTAACATTCATGGACATGGCCCTGAAAGTACAGGTTAAACAGAAAATAAAATAAAAAGACTACAAGCCTCAAACTAAAATAACAGTCAAGGAGGAGGTCAAAATGCACATGATCCTTCCAGGCATACACTAGACCTAAATTTCGATGATGCTCCGAATGAACGAACCACCCACCGTCAACGGCTGAAAGGGTGAGCATGAGATGCGACCCAGAGATTGCAAGTTTAGTGTAATAACCACCAGGCCATGTCAGGCCCTAATTAATCACAAGCAACAAACTCGGAAAAGATTTGTAATATTTATAATGTTAAATTCACTAAATAACATTAAAATTACAACAAAAAAATTTGAAACAGAAATACAGCATTAAACGATAGTTATAGGAATTAATTTCTATATCATATTATAAAATGTTAAACATAGAATAATATTTATCAACTTTGCAAACAACATTTATAACAAGTTTTTCAGTATTTTCTTATAGTCTTGTGAATTAGAAAAGATTGAAAATAAACATGTTTATAATCAGAATATTCTTAACTTATCGCGAAATATTATTAAAGATGTAACAATAATTAATACTTAGAACATGAGATCTGCTATAGACTTTGTTATACTAGTATGATATAAATAAGGCTGGAATAGTCTGAAATACGTTTATCCTATTACAAACTTAGTAAGATTGCTGATAATAATTGCTGTGGATTAATATTTTAAAATTATTGTGTAATATTTTACCATTTCAATGCATCGTTTATTAAATTTCCTAAAGAAATTACAGTAATTTCCTTAGATTTAAAATCCCTTCCATATATGGCACTAAAAGTTCATCTTTATAAATAATATAGATTTATGATGTTTGCCGTTAAGTATGAGCAAAGCTACATAACGGGATGTCTGCATTTTGTTCACTGCGGGTAATTCAGTTCCGAACATTGGACTTAAGAATAATATTTGGCATTACTCTGCGGTGAAAATGTGTGTTAAATGCATCTATACGTGCTACTTTGTGAAATTTAACATCCGTATTAGTTTAGGAAGAGCTTTTGAATATTTACAGTGAAAATATTTTTCAATTAACACGTACACACAAAACAAAAGACACCAGAAAATTATTTCTTCGTTCTTGACATTTATCCTCCTCTTAATTGAAATTGGTACATCAACAGCTATATTTACCGGTTACAATAAAGAACAACACAACACAGATATAGCTAAACATACCAGTGAAAACAATGATAAAGGTGGACTTATAAAGTCACTGCAGTAAAATTGTGGACCATTTTTTCCAATTATGTTTAGGATGCAAGTGGAAGTCATTTCCATATTTACAGTAAGTGACTGCCCACTTTCAACTAAAATATACCAATAGTTCCTGCTACTTATGCATATCTTAAACTTGCACAGTTTACGTCATGTGTAATCACCGAAACAGAAAAATTAGATCATGTTTAACTACTGGTATTTCAGACTAAAAAACAGTTCCTATGTCGAGAGAGAATCTTCGACATTCATATGCATTTTTAGAATTTATTGTAAAATATGGAAACACATACTTAAAAACTTGCACCATACAATTTTGACTGTAGTTAGAAAAATCAATAGCAAAATACCGAATAGAATAAATATGATTTTATATTGATCTTCACGTGTCTATAATATTAAAACATGCTATATATACATTTTCTGGGGTGAATTACTATGGTCAGAGCATGTTAATTACAATGGACATAATATATTTTATTAAGTAGCATAATTCTAGTATTAATATGCTATAGTGCCCCTTGAGCGGCTTAAAAGCTTATAACAATAAAATTCAGGATTGGATCTCTGCAGTGGGCACAGTGCAGACAGTACATTGTTTATAACTTTTCGCTGAAAACAAACATACTTACTTGCTATTTATTTAATTATTGTCATTGGAGTTTTTTTTTATATAAATATTCATACATTTATTTACTAGATAAACTGGTAACAAAGGATACAGTTGAGATTTTTGGATTTTTCATCACCTCTGAAACTGTATTACTTACTTTTAGTTTTTCATTAAAAATCAAAGCTAGTCATTAACGAATAAACCATGATTTACAAGTAGTGTATAAACAACTGTTTAATTGTTTGATCTTTACAATCGGAAAAATTGTGCGTAAATATAGAAAGAAGACAAGTTTGCTATCTCATCAAAATACATTCATTTTTATTTTTGTTATTCCAAATTATAACAATTTAATGCGGCAATAAATATTAATTAAAATACGAAAATCAAACAAACCTCTGCTTGAAAAGGAACAACAAGAACTATACATAAAAATATAAGTGATATCGAAACTTTGAATTACTAGGCATATCATATGTTTTTCAACTTGTTTTTAGTAACATAGAAACATTCAAAATTTTTCATTCAGTCTGTTTCTACGCATTTTTGGAATAAACACGTGGCTCAGAGAACCAATGTAGCTATTTTGTTCCATACGCCTTTATGTCTGTGTTCTGTATAGCAAATAACATCTACTATGCCTGAGAGGATTTTGCGGTATGTTCTGTTGAAAGGTTCAATGACTGCAACGTCCTTTGCTGGCCGATTGGATGATTCCCAAAAAAATGCTGTGAGAGAATAACCAGTCACGTGGTGACGCACTCACAAGAGAAAGAATGCGAGCTTTGTTGCATTATCAAAGTATTATTCTTTCTCAGTTCCACCTGATTATCGAAGTGTTTAATTTGACAGAGATATCCTTGAGAGAAGGAAAGCTGCTGATCGTTTTTCTTATCCACTTGTATAAGCAAGTATTCACACTGTTTGTTTGTTTCTTTGTATTATATTATAATAAAGATAGTTTTAGACTTAACATCAGATGTGTTTGTTTCTCAATGCTTAAAACTCGGTCATGTTTTCAAATCCACATTATTCCTGTATTCCGTGTTCAGTCCTGTTGATGTTAAGCACACCTATCTAAAATCAGTTAACTGTAAGTACCACAAACAGATAGGTAAAATAATTGGATCACATTTCCCCTGAGTGTTTATTGAGTGTCAATAGCAACATCATGAATTTCAGTCTTGGAATATACATTTTATTTAAAAAGTCTTAATAAATTGAATTTTATCAGTGATTATTTATTTTGTGATGCCTGAAAAATAAGTAAGTATAGTTTGACGGCCTCTCCCTAGATGCCGCTACAGTCACTACCCAGTAGCTTTAGTGGAGGTGAGATGTGTAAACTACCAGTGTACTTGATGAAGTGATATAGGTATTGTAATACAAGTATGTAAATGAATACACTTGTGTGTGTAGGTATGTTACAATGAATCATTCATGAGTGTTTTTTAAATGAATTTATATAAATGAATCAATTAAACAAAAAGTACAACAATAAAGAACAAGAAGACAACGAGGGTGTGGAGACAAAGGATCTGATCTCCGCGTTAGGAATTGGTGAATGTTATGTTAACTATAATAACTGATCAGAAAATGATTATTGGAAAATGTAGTGTACCTGCAATTTTCATTAATACCAAGAGACGGTTTTATGGAACAGGTGAGTTGGTAATACGATTTTGGCCCTCCAGTGGCATAGCGGTATGTCTGCGGACTTACAACACTAGAAACTGGGTTTCGATACTTGTGGTGAGCAGAGCACAGCTAGCCCATTGTGTAGCTTTGTGCTTAACTTCAAACAAACAAA